CCCCCCCCCATGTTTGTCTTTCTAAGTCTGGGTTACCTCATTCAGGATGGGTTGTTAACATGTTTTTAGTCAGTTATAATTGTCAGTGATTTTTGTGTCTCATCTACTAACTTTTTAACTTTTATGGACTGAATTTTCTGATATTTTGAGTTGTACATAGTGTAACTTGTATGTTTTAGGTTACATGTTACTACTTCATATTGTCTCTTATGACTTTATATATTTTTCTTTCATTCTGCAGAAGCTATTTTCCTTGGGTGCAGGAGACAGACAGCTGATACAGACTCCTTTACATGACAGCCTTCCCGTCACAGGCACTAGTGTGGCTCTTTTATTTCAGCAATTAGGTATGTCTTGTCCTGGCTTTTTAAATATGTTTTTAGAAAAACCTATGGATGGGAAAAATATTTAAGTTATTATCATCTGACATGATAAAGAAAACATAAAGAAACAATTTATTATCTATTGTAGCTTAGCTGTGTCAGGAGGAGAGAAGGATGAAGCAAACTTCCTGAGTGACTTACTTTGGTAACACCCCATTGAAATAGTTTTGTTATTTGGGAGCAACTTATAGCAAAGAAAGGAGATAGAGGAAGGATTCTTGGCATTTAATGTTTGGTCTGATTGTAATGAGGTATGCAACTTAAAGATGGAGAAAGGCACATCAGGTATTCCAGCTTGTTAAAAAATTGCCTGCCTGCATATTTGAAGGCATATAGAGTATCCAGAACATTGTTCTTTGCTAATTAAAATGAAAAGCTACCTTGGACTATAGTTTGTTTACTTTTTAAAGTTAAGTTCATTCTTAGGGATTTATTTACCCAAGGAAAATGATAGTCCATCTCCATAAAATATTTGCACATGAATGTCCATAGTCATTTTGTGACAGTAAGACTGCTTTATGAAAACAGCCTTAATATTCACTAAAGTTAATAAAGAAGTAATAATAGAAATACATTAAATTCTGTGGCCTATCATGTGATGGCATATACAATACAAAAGAATGAATTCTGGATATGTCCATCATTGATTAACTTAAAAATAATTATGCTGAATGAAAACCAACACATGAAAAGAATGTATAATTTATGGTTCAGTTTCTTACATTTCAGTCTAGTCTGTGGTGACAAAAACAGGACTCTGGGCCGGGCGTTGGTGGTGCTCGCCTTTAATCCCAGCACTCAGGAGGCAGAGGCAGGCAGATCTCTGTGAGTTCGAGACTAGCCTGGTCTACAAGAGCTAGTTCCAGGACAGCCTCCAAAGCCACAGAGAAACCCTGTCTTGAAAAACTAAAACAAAAACAAAAACAAAACAGGACTCTGACTACATTGTAGGTGGGAAGAGAAAGATGACAAAGCGTCACAAAGAAAGCTTTTGTGGTGATGATTTTTCATTCATATATATATGTGTGTGTGTGTGTGTGTGTGTGTGTGTGTGTACATAATATATCAAATTCTTTTTTAAATAATTCATGTTTAAAACACATTTTTATTTTACATACTAGTCCCAGTTCCCCCTCCCTCCCCTCTTCTCACCACCCTTAGAGAGGGTGAGGCCTCCCGTGGGGATTAACAAAATCTGTCATACCACATTGAGGCAAGACCAAGGCCCTCCCTCCTGTATCTAGGCTGAGCAAGGTATCCCTCCATAGGGAATGGGTTCCAAAAAAACCACTTCATTCCCTACCAACTGTCCGAGCCACACAACTGTCATCCACATTCAGAGGGCCTAGTTTAATCCTATGCAGGTTCCCCAGCTGTCAGTCTGGAGTCAGTGAGCTCCCACTATATTGATTGGGTCAGCTATTTCTGTGTCTTTCCCCATCATGGTCATAGTAACACTCCTTGCTCTCTTCAACTGGATTCCGGGAGCTCAGCCCAGTGTTTAGTTGTGCATCTGATTCCATCAGTTACTAGATAAAGGTTCTATGATAGCAATCAAGGTAGTCATCAATCTGATTACAGGGGAAGGCCAGTTAAGGTACCCTCTCCACTATTGCTTAGAGTCTTATCTGGGGTCATCCTTGTTGGTTGCTGGGAATTTCCCTAGTGCCTGGTTTCTTACTAACCCTATAATGACTCACGCTATCAAGAGTTCTCTTTCTTTGCTCTCCCTCTCTGTCCTTTCCCCCAACTCCACCACCCCATTCCCTCATGTTCTCCTCCCCCCACACTCCTGATTTACTCAGGAAATCTTATCTATTTCCCCTTCTCAGGAGGATCCATATATGTCTCACTTAGGGTCCTCCTTGTTACCCGGCTTCTCTGGTGTTGTAGACTGTAGGCTGGTTATCCTTTGCTTTAGGTCTAAAATCCTCTTACAAGTGGATACATACCATGTTTGTCTTTATTTTTTTTTAAATATTTCTTTTTTAAGATTTTATTTATTTATTTTGTATACAATATTCTGCTTCCATGTATATCTGCACACCAGAAGAGGGCACCAGATCTCATAACAGATGGTTGTGAGCACCATATGGTTGCTGGGAATTGAACTCAGGACAAGCATTCAGTGCTCTTAACCTCTGAGCCATCTCTCCAGCACCCCCCCCCCATGTTTGTCTTTCTAAGTCTGGGTTCGCTCATTCCGGATGGGTTTCTCTAGTTCCATCTATTTGCCTACCAATTTCAAGATGCCATTTTTTTTAACCACTGAGTAATACTCCATTGTGTAAATGTCCCACATTTTCTTTATCCATTCTTCAATTGAGGGGCATCTAGGTTGTTTCCAGGTTCTTTCTATTATGAATAATGCTGCTATGAATATAGTTGAGCAAATGTCCTTGTGGTATGGGTGGGTATCCTTTGGGTTTATGCCCAAGAGTGGTAATGCTGGGTCTTGAGGTAGATTGATTCCCAATTCTCTGAGAAACCACCAAACTGATTTCCAAAATGACTGTACAAGTTTACACTCCCACCAGTAATGGAGGAGTGTTCACCTTACTCTACCTTCTTTCTGGCATAAGCTGTCATGGGTGTTTTTTGATCTTAGCCATTCTGACAGGAGTAAGATGATATCTCAGAGTTGTTTTGATTTGCATTTCCCTGATGGCTAAAGATGTTGAGAAATTCCTTAAGTGTCTTTTGGCCATTTGAGATTCTTCTGTTGAGAATTCTCTGTTAAGATCTGTACCTCATTTTTTTTCTGTACCTCATTTTTAAATTGGATTATTTGGCAGTTTGATTTTTAGTTTCTTGAGTTCTTTGCCTATTTTAGAAATCAGTCCTCTGTCAGATGTCAGTTTGGTGATTTTTTTCCCCATTCTGTAGGCTGTTGTTTTGTCTTGTTTTCCATGTCCTTTGCTTTACAGAAGCTTCTCAGTTTCAGGAGGTCACATTTTTTAATTGTTACTCTCAATGTCTGTGCTACTGGTGTTCTATTTAAGACAGTCTCACCTTGTATTGTCAAAGTTCATTAGTTGCTTTCCTCTGTGTCCTGCAGAATATCTGGCAGACTCTTCTGTGAAGCAGGAATCTCAAAGGACTATCCTCCCTTGTCTTGGCAAAGTTCAACAATCTTTTTCCTATGTCCCACTTGTACAGGCTGTACAGCATACTGTCAGCAGTCAAGGCAAGAGCTGTTTCTTGCCCAAATGGCTAACTTTGTCACACTGAAAGCAAACTCCATATGGAGTTTCTTCAATGACCATCATCCTTTTATGAAGTAAATTGGTACTGCCAGTATGTGTGTCTAATTGTCATGAGAACCCTTATGTTATCAAACATCTTAAATGTCATATTCTGTAGGTCTTTGTGGTGTTTCAAAATTAGCTGTCTAAAATATACCTGTTTAACCTTGAAAACATACCTAATATGACTACAAGTTTGGTTATTATAGATTAACTGTTAACCTCATTTCTTAAATATACATTGCATTTTTAAATGAGCTGCATAAGTACAATACCCCCAAACAAGAGGTCTAACAAAAATAACTTTAAATTTGTACTGATATACCAAAATCCATTATCTGAGACTAATAGTTGTCCTATTATCTTATATTCCTGTATTCCCCTAAATGATGTAAAAAATCCATAACCCACCAAAATAGCCAAAAACTACCAACCCCATCTCTTGAGAATGTGGGCATAGCCTTTTATATAGGGCATAGTCTTCTCTAGATTGCTTCCTGTTGTCTGTGGGTGAAGGCATCTTTAGGGATCCCTGAGAAAATTGAGATAATGGTTAAGTCCTGAGAAGACCAGCAGTAATCTTTGTTGATATATATCACTTTTCAAGATTCAGAAAGGTCTCCCCTGATCAAACCTGGTCCATGTTAATCCTGAAGGAATCCACAGCCTCTCATTCCCTGTGTGTGTGTGTGGGGGGGGGAGCATAACCTCCTCCCCAAAGCATTTTTAAATTTCTATTTATCAAATATATTTTTTCTTTCTTGTTTTAAGATATCCCTAAAGTATCTAGATTGGTTCGATTTACCCATCCTATTCACAATTCCATGTCTGTTAGAAGCTATCATTTTCTCATCAGCATTCAAAAAATTCAGAATCAACACAATACTATACAAGATCCAGACTCCCTGTGTATTTCCCATCTTTGCGTGGCTTATTCTTTTTTATTATTTTGCTTCTCACTGTATTATTTTTAAATTACTTTTTTCCTATGACTGTGTATACTCTTTCTCTTTTCTTTCTTAAGCCTATGCACATTTTAAACATTCTGGAACCTGTTTAGAGGTTTTTTCCATCTGGACTTACTTTACTGAGTATCTGTAGCCTTTTTTTTGACTGCGTGAGCCTTAAACTGCTAGGCAGAGCTGCTACAGCTTTGTTGACTGGCCTGGCCCACTTCCCTCGTCTTTGAAAACCAAGCCTAATGCTCACAGGCTGGTCAGAGGTATGTCACCAGGAACTGCATTCAGCCTTCTTCATGAGAGGAAGCAGATGCCTGTTCTGCCACAAGCATTTTTACTTAGCCTGCTATTTCTGTTTAGTGCTGCCAGCTAAACAGCAGCACTTCTTAAAGGAGCCATGCCTTTTTTCTTTTCTTTCTCAGATTTTGCAGGCCAACTACAGTAATTTGAGCCTCATATTGATATGCCAAAATGTAGTTTTTGTTGTTGTTGTTGCTGTTTTCTTTTTTTTTTTTAATCTTTGGTGATATCCAGCTCCCAAATAAATACACAGAGACCTAATCTTATTTATGAATGCCCAGCCTTAGCTTGGCTTGCTTCTAGCCAGCTTTTCTAACTTAAATTATTCTCTTTCTTCTTCTTCTTTTTTTTTTGTTCTTTTTGTTTGTTTGTTTGTTTTTTGAGACAGGGTGTCTCTGTGTAACAATCCTGATATCCCGTTTCTCTTTAACTACATTTTGCCTCTGGGCTTTTTACCTCTCTTTATTCTGTATATCTTGCTTTCCTTCTTACTTACTCCATGGCTGAGTGGCTGGCCCCTGATGTCCTCCTCTCCTTCTTGGCTCACTCTTCCTCTTTTTTCCCCTAGATTTCTCCTATGTATTCTCTCTGCATGCTATCCTCACCTATTTAGCTCTCCTCCCTAGCTATTTGCATTTCAGCTCTTTATTAGACCAATCAGGTGTTTTAGGCAGGCAAAGTAGCTTTACAGAGTTAAACAAATGCAACATAGAAGAATGCCAAACATGTTTGCATCATTAAACAAATATTCCACAGCATAAATGAATATAACACATCTTAAACTAATATTCCACAACAGATTCTCAAGAGAAATGATAGAAAACCATGTGTGTAAGTCAGCATTCAGTTAGTGTGACAAAATAACTTCAGGCACAACAACTTAAAAAGGAAAGGTTTATTTTAAGAGATTTCACTCCATGGTTGGCTGGCTCCATTGCTATGATCCTGTGGTAAGACAAAAAGAAGAGTAGTGGACAGAAGATTAGCTGCTCACATCACATAGTTATGTGTCAAAGAATAGCAAGAATTAATTCTGAGAAATGGGTCATTGGGCAGATATCCTCAAACTTATGTCCTTCCACATCTTAAATAGTGTAGCCTGCTACATATCTAGACTATACAGTGAAAACAGACAGCTAGCACAATCTGTTGAGTTGAGGGCCATGTGTGCAAAATTTAACATTAGATTACATCAAGCATAGGAGAAAATGATGCAGTCAAGAATCACAGATGTAATATATAAGACATACGTAAATAAATATAAAATGTGTGAGGCCACTGCTAATATAACACAATATAGAGTTTTCTTTGTAAGTAGGAATACAGAATACAAACTATACTGTGGTATAGTAAATACATAAACCAATTATAGTCATAGTTATTGATCACATTATTCACTGTACCTAATTGTTCTATGCTTTCATATGACTAGCAATAGTTTTGTTATGCCTACATTATCACAAATATGAAATACATTGTACAGTGGTATTAGGACAGCCACCTTGTCCTTAGATGGTAGGAGTTTGTCACCTCTATTATGACCTTATCATACCACTGTTGTTATCATTGGTGACTGAAGTGTCATCTTGAAACACAACTGTTTTAACATCAGACAAAGGAGAATAAAAACCAATGCCAGCATCTTTAATGGGCTATCTTGGAGATGAAGTAAAGAAGGTAGTAGTAAATATCAAACAGCTCACATGATCAATGAGTATAACATTACAATGGTGTAAAGAATAGATATCCAGGAAGACAGATGCCTATAGGTTGTATAGGTTAAGTTAACCAGTTATTTTCCTTTGAAGATTTCCAGAATATTCCCTTTGTTTCTTTGTCATAGAAAAATCTGTGATTGTTGGCAATACAATACAGTTTGTTGTGTTAAGTAAGCCTTTGTTCTTGTGTTTTCAGGAATTCAAAATGTCCTCAACCTCTTTTGTGCAGTCCTTACAGAAAATAAGGTTCTCTTCCATTCAGCAAGTTTTCAGAGACTTAGTGATGCCTGTAGAGCCCTGGAATCTTTAATGTTTCCTCTTAAATACAGGTGAAGTTTTTACTTGGTAATTTTATGTATTCCCACATTATGTATTACTTCTTGATGAATCAAAATGTCATGACCCAATTGCTTTGAACCATGAAGGTTTGTTACATGAAGTTAGAGAGTTACGATTCTAATAAAATTTAGTCTAGAATTTGGGACTTTTCCAAGTTGTACATGACCGAGAGCTAGTTAATTTAATGAAAAATATTTAATTTAATTTGAATAGTATTGTCAGCAATATTTAATTATCTTTCAATACTGATAAAATTCTTTGGTTAGTGCTATTTGATACTAGTGTATTAGTTTTTAGGAGCTATTGGAATTCTGTTACTGAAGGGTCCTTATCTTAAATTATTTAAGTATTAGTTTTTAGGAGCTATTGGAATTCTGTTACTGAAGGGTCCTTATCTGTTTTAGATACCTCTTAAATTATTTGTGTGTAAATGATGTAATGTAACTTCACAATAACATAGATAATAGATTGTAAGTCAGTAGACATAGATGGCTGTATATTGATCATTGTCAAATGTAGATTAGACAACTTCATTATAAATTTCCCACTTACTTTTAAGGGGTACATTAAATATTTTCCATAATAAAAATTATAAAACAAATTTTAAAATTTTAAACTGTGGTGGCAGGTAGAATATTTTACTCTTATTTAATTTTTCTAATCATAATGTCCCAGGAACTTAAGTTCATGAATAGTAGATAAAATTAGATCTCCTCTGGTATTTTCTTAAAATTTTAAAATATATGTTTATTGAATGTGAGCATCAAGTATAGTGTTAGCAATTATGCCAATAAAATTGATTTATTTTAAGTTCTTCAGTCCTTTAAAAAAATTTATTAGTTCTTTGAGAGTTTCATTCAAAACCATATCCATACCCCTTACCACGTCTCAGATCCACTCTCTTTCTCTACCCACCCAATTTTGTATCCTTAAATATAAATAAATAAAACTTTCAGGGCAATTTGTGCTGCTCAAATAATCTTAATGTGTGATCTTCCACTGGAGGATGGTGGACTTGCCAGGTACAGTTACAGAGAAAACCACTTCTCCTTTTCCTAGCAGCTAACAATGTTAATAGCTCCACAGCTAAAGGTAGAATTAAATGCATGGTTCCCACCTCCGTGCTGGATTTGGCCTGGGTTGGGCTTGCACAAACTTTGTACATGCTGTCACAGCTACTGTGAATTCTTATGCTGACCTAGCCCTGCTTGGCCTAGAACTTAGTATATAGACCAAGCCATCCATGAATTCATAGAGGTCCACCTACCTCTGCCTTCTACATATGAGGCTAAAAAGTTGCCATCACCACACCAGGTCTTCTTGATAATTTCTAAATATAAATGAATTTAAAATCAGACCCCCCAAAACAAAAGAACACGCCAGAGTTGGCAGGTAAGGAGGTGGGGTAGATCTGAAAGGAGTAGTGGTGACTGTGATAGAAATACATTGTATGACATTCAAAGAACTAATAAAAAATAAAATAAAACAATGTTACTTTTTTATTAAAATAAAAATTTATTGATTACTTTACTAAATATTACATTAAATAAATATTATAAAATGATCCATTTTATTTATTTATTAAAATAGTAATTAAAAATTTAAACAAGACACAAAGCTAGGGTGGCACAGAGTGGTAGGGGTTTATCTGGGAGGAGTTGGGAAGGAGTCAGTGACTGTAATCAAAATACATAGTATGAAATTCTCAAATAATTAATAAATACATTTTTACAGTTCAGACTGCATAGAAATAAAGGGAAATGTGTTCACATTTAGGGAAAATAACATAAATAAAATATTTTTATTATTTTCAGTTATCCTTATATTCCCATTCTTCCGGCTCAGCTACTAGAAGTTTTGAGTTCTCCAACTCCTTTCATTATTGGAGTACACTCCATCTTTAAAACTGATGTTCATGAGCTTGTAAGTATCCAGTTCTAAAATGTCCAGACTTTGAGTCTTTCATATTTATGTGATATAAGGTTTCACATCATTGTTTTCAGATATGGTGCTTTCCCCATAGAAAAGACAGACTAGAAGGAAAGCAACATCAAGAAATCTAAATATATTTAATTTTGCAAGTATAAGAGTTTTAAAGAATTTATTTATTCATTCATATATTTATTTATGTATAAGATGGTTTTAGACAGGTGAGATGGCTGAGGGAAAAAATGCTTGACCTGAGTTCATTGCAGTGGTGTTTGTGATTCCAGCCTTGGGTAGCAGAGCACTTTTACCGTACTGTAGTCCTCATATGAAAAACTCTGTATTCCTGTAAAGAAGTGGTTCTCGGTCTTCCTAATGCTGTGATCCTTTAATACACTTCTTCATGTTGTGGGGACCCCCAACCATAAAATTATTTTTGTTGCCAATTCATAACTGTAATTTTGCTACTGTTAAAAATTATAATGTAAATATCTGTGTTTTCCAGTGGTCTTAGGCAACCGCTATGAAAGGAGTTGTTCAACCTCCAAAGGGTCACAACCTACAGGTTAAGAACCACTGCTGTAGATGATAAGGATTAATAATCTATTATTTTATTCATAATTTTCTTACTAATGCTTAATTATTAGTGTTTTAAATGAGACCTGCCAATATAGAATTCCTGAAAACCAACTAGCAAGAGTAAAATAGTTTGCAGAGAGTTTAAATGTAGTGGAACTCAAATTCTTTATGAGCCCCCACCAAATTCCTAATCCATGTCGCTAAAGAGAAGCTAAAGCTAGTTCAAGAATAGTGTGTTTACTTTTGGATATCATGCTCCTAATAGGATTCTAGCAGTGTGCATCAGAGGATATCAGAAGCAAAATTTTACAGTTTGCAATTCTTTGATGAAATTGTCTCAAGTGATAATTTGATACTACTTAATAGCTAAAGATCAATATTTAAGGACTATCACATGCACGAAGGGGAAGGTGGTGGTTGTTGTAACATTAAAATGGCATCCGTAGATAAGAGCTGCCAATTAATGGACTGGGATTTCTAACATGAGATGAGGAATGTACTCTGAAGCATGATGACTGAAGTGTAGGGAGCAGATTATGTGCCTCTTTCCAGAGAATATAAGAAAATTTCTTTACCAAAAGGATTTGGTTGTATGACATCTGTAATCCACAAGACTTTGTAATGCTGCTTCTGCTCTAAATGCCAGCAAAGGAAGCTTTGGTGCTTCTTACATAGCAACTGCAGCTGGAACCATGACACAGATGTCATTGATACTGTTGAAAGAGTAGACAAGACCCCTCATATGTATACCAATCGATTCTCCTAACATTGTATTTAATATCTAGTTCTGCTCAACTTTAGTATCATCTTATAAAAATGAGTATGCTACTAAATATTTTTATTAAAAATTAGGCTCCTTACAATTTGTAAATAATCTTAGTATTACTAAATAGAGATAGGACAAACGAAATGTTGCCAGTTGAAGGTTTAATAATTTAATGAATAAATTAGAATAAATTGCAATCACATCATCAAAATATTTATGTAAGTTGTTTTTAAGTATCATCTTTTAAACACTACAAATGAGGTTTGGGGCATTGTTTTTGTCTATTTTAGTCTTGGTTTTGAGACAGGGTCTAATGTATCATGGGCTGACACAAACCTGAACTCATTCCATAGCTGGGGATGGATTTGAACTCATCCTTCTGCCTCCCAAGTGCTGTAATTATAGGTGTGCATCACTCCTCCAAGCTGGGTTTTGCATCTAAATAGTAATTTCTTGATACATATTGCTTTGTTTATTGATTCTTATAGAATCCAAATGCAATAGCTCAGTTAACATGGAATTTTATTAACACATAGTGCTTCATAGAAATTCTCCAATGTGCCTGAGTAGCTTGCTCTATGACATCATTTACCATCCTATCCTCCTTCCTTCCTGCTTTTTCTACTACAATCCCCTCAGGTAGTGTTCCCATCTGGATGATTAATGCTTGACTGTTGACAGTTCATAGTTTCTCCCTATGGAAAGAAGAACGAGAACATAGAAGATCCCTACAGCACTGCTATCTTGAAGAGCCAAGGAGCACATGTCATTTTTCATCCTTCAGTGGCAAATGTGTACTCATGTACAGTGCCTGATTTCACAGGAAGTTGGGAAATGTAAAGTGATGAGGAAGTTCTAAACATAGAACTCTTACTGTGATAGCCAAGAACCTCCTCCTCAATTGGTTTTTCTCAGTTTGAGTTAGCCACAGCCAATTAATTTGTTTAATAACAAATATACTTTATGAATTATGGTTAATTTTTAAAATCTTTTTCAGTTAGATGTAATCATAGCAGATTTGGATGGAGGAACTATCAAAATTCCTGAATGCATTCATCTCTCCTCTCTCCCGGAGCCACTTCTTCACCAGACTCAAGCAGCTCTTTCTTTGGTATGCCTCTTTGTTCATGGTCCTTTTTCTTGATCTAAACCTGAAACTGGGATTAAAAAACATTGTCTGTAATTATATATGTATGTGTGTATGCATGTTTACAAGTACACATATATATTACATTGAGACATTTCTGTCACTGAGTTGGTCTGGCACTTACTATATAGACAAGGCTAACCTTGATCCCACCTGCCTCTGCCTCCCGAGTGTTGGGATTAAAGGTATGTGCTACCATACCCTGTTACAGGTGTAATTATCTTAGAGAGTCCTATGTTTGAAACAAATATATTCTTTTGTAGTCTTTAGAGGAGAATCCTTCATTTACTGGGTGGTTATATTTGCTTCTCATTCAATAGTATATTTATATAGATGCTATATACCAAATACTGTGGAAATAAGATAAAACTTTGCCTCAAAAATCTATGATTCCTGCCCCATGTGGTGGTGTACTCCTTTAATCCCAACACTACGAATGCAGAGGCAGGCAGATCTCTTGAGGTTGTGAGGCCAGCCTGGTCTGGAGAGTGAGAGAATAGAACAGCCAGGGTTACCCTGTCTTGGAAGAAAAAAATCATGTTCTCTCAAATTTTTCCTATTAGAAATTGTTAGCTTCTGGTCTCTAAATTTATTCTTGGTACATTGTCTTTTTTGTGAATGTGCTACTTACAAAATAGCCTGTCTGATAGGTGTTTTTAGTTTGTTAACATGTGATTAATCAAAGCAGTAAAGGTCCAGCATTCCATGCAATCAAGGTTTTAAAAATCTTATGGCCTACGTTTTCCACATTGAAACAAATTTAATAATTTTTGTTATGCTATTTTCGTTGATTAAAAAACAAACAAAAAATTAGTGTATGTATGTGTGTATGGAGGTCAGAGGAGAATCTTAGCTGTCATTCCTTAGGTGCCAGCCACCTTATTGTTTGAAACAGGGTCTCTTCTTAGTCTGGAATTTGCCAAGTAGGCTGGGTTGGCTGGCTGGCAAGCCTGAGGGATCCTCTAGTCTCCAAATCTTCAGAACTGAAATTACAATTACAAACCACCATGCCCAGGAGTTGGTTTTGTTTGGTGTTGTTTTAATGTACATTGGTGTTTTGCCTGTATGTATGTCTATATGAGGGTGTCAGATCTTGGAGTTACAGACAGTTGTGAGCTGCCCTGTGGGTGTTGGAAATTGGACCCAGATCCAATGGAAGAACAGTTAGTGCTCTCAACTGTTAAGATAAATCTTTCCGCCAAAAGCCGCCGAGCCCCACCACCACATGTGCGCTTTATGCCAGCCGCCTGCCTGAGTTAGGGCCCAAATTAATACACAGAAACTTGTATTAGGTTCAGATGCTGCTTGGCCAATGACTAGGATTTCTCATCTCTTAGCTCAGTCATAATTATCATAAATCTATGTATTTTATAAGACTTATAGAGGATGCCTTCCGCTGGCACCCTCTCTTGCTGGTGGCTCACATGGCGCGGCTGGAGGAGGTGAAAGGGAACACAGAAACTTGTATTAGGTTCAGATGCTGCTTGGCCAATGACTAGGATTTCTCATCTCTTAGCTCAGTCATAATTATCATAAATCTATGTATTTTATAAGACTTATAGAGGATGCCTTCCGCTGGCACCCTCTCTTGCTGGTGGCTCACATGGCGCGGCTGGAGGAGGTGAAAGGGAAAAAAAGACACTTCCTGTTTCTCCTTGCTTAAATATGAGTCTCCTTGCTATGTCACTTCCTGCCTGGATCACCACTTCTCAACTACAGTCCCAGAATCCCCTTTGACTCTTAGTCCTGCCTAATTTGCTGCCTCATTGGCCAAACAGAACTTTATTCAACAATCAATAAGATAAGCATACACAGAAATACTTCCCCCATCACTCAACCTCTGAGAAGTCTCTCTAGCCCCTTAGTTAGTTTTTGTTTTGTTTTGTTTAAGTAAAACAAAAACAGTAATTAGGGTTCTGGGATCAAACTTGGGTCTTTGTGCTTTCAAGGCAAGCATTTGCCAAGCAAGCTGTCTCCCCAGCCCTAAAACACATTTACTTGCAGTTTTTTAGGTGCTCATTTATCTGACACCAGAAAAATAGGAATTCTTAGAAATTCTACATTCCCACTGGGTGGTAGTGATACATGCCTTTAATCCTAGCACTTAGGAGGCAAAGGCAGGCATATCTTTGAGTTCAAGACCAGCCTTCTCTATGGAGGAGTTCGAAGTATTTCTACATTTCCTGTAAAGATGTTGGTAGAAGTAAGGCCTTTGTAATCTTCTTAATACTCCAGTCTGGGCTGTTGAAATGTGTTGTTTTGTTCCTTCCTTAATTAGAAGTTTAAAAGTTTACCATTACCAGGAGAGATTTTATTCTCTGTAAACTTTCAACTTTGTGTTAGTTCTTATGTCTTTTGTAGTGGTTATCTATAAAAGGGAGGCCTGATGTTTCCTGATGTAATTTGTAATCTGAAATACAAGGTGTGACAGAATGGGAAAGAAACTAATATAGGACTCAGTTTGTAACTTGATGTCACTGAACAAATCATATCCCTTCAATAGGCCTATACTGTAGATTTTATAGGATGTTTTATTTCATAGAGAGATGAATATCTGGCTTTCTCAAACTTAAGCATGGCAAGGATAGTTACGAGTTTCTTATGGGTAGGAGAATCCATCTCCAAAGGTATGAGGAGACATCAAAATACCAAATGCTTTAATTTGGGTAGAATTAAGGGTAGAATATGCCATCTGAGAAGAAATTGCAGACAAGGCATACCTAGAAATAATGCTTCTTCTTGGAATAACTCAAATAGAAGGCCCCAGCCTTCTGGACTATGTAGATGTGGCAAAGGCCAACACTGGACCAATGAATGTAGATCAACAAGAGACAAACAAGTCAACCCTTTAACATCAGGAAACTCCTTGGGGGGGGCCTCATGAAGCCCCCATACAAAAATTGGTCCAGTCACTCCCAGTCACTGTGGAGGACAATCCTCCCCAGAACAATTAGGAAATCCAGTGGCTATTGTAAAAAGTGCTACTGCTCTGAATGGTAGACTAGCTTTAGAGAATGAATCAAAATTCAAGAAGGAAACAGAAAACATATATTTTGGCAGACTTTGGTAAATGACCAAAGACCAAAACTCAGAGTACAAATAATGTTATGCTTGAAGGATTACTGGACACAGGTAAGGACATCACCATTATCACTCCAGAATCTTGGCATTCCTAGTTGGCCTCGTCAGGAGGTAGATATTCAATTCTTAGGGATTGGAGTCTTATCTCATGTAAAGCAAAGCACGAGATGGGTTGAATGTATAGGGCCAAAAGGACAAAGAGGAAGGCTGAGGCCATATGTGGCTAATCTATGGGGTAAATCTATGGGGTTGTGATCTGTTGCAGCAATTTAATACCAAATTAACATTCCTCCAATGTCAAAAATGAACCATAAACCAACTCATGTATATGGAAAAAGTGTTATAAAGCACTATATAAAACAAATTCCAATCATCCAGGCTGTACAGAAACAGAATAAAACAAGTGTTGAACTCATAGAGGGACCAAAATCCCTATCCTTAAAATGGTTAACCAGCAAACCTGTCTGGGTGGGGCAATGGCCTATGACTTCAGAGAAACATATATACAGAAGGACTCCCCCATCATCAAGACTTGTAATTCCTAAGATAGTATCATCTCAGATAATACCAAATTTCAAAAGGTGAATATTTTAAAGAAAAATGTTGACTATGTAATTGGATTGATTGTATATGGATATAGCAGTAGCTGAAAAATTATTATTTGAGTTACTGAAGAAATTAAATGTTTCTTGAATTCTTTTTTTTTAAGATTTATTTATTTATTATGTATACAACATTCTGTCTGCATATATCCTACAGGCCAGAAGAGGGCACCAGATTGCATTACAGATGGTTGTGAGCCACAATATGGTTGCTGGGAATTGAACTCCGGCCCTCTGGAGGAGCAGCCAGTGCTCTTAACCTCTGATCCATCTCTCCAGCCCTGTTTCTTGAATTCTTATAGCATTTAAACTCCTATGTAATTATTTAGCAATCATATAAATGATTACTTAATGATTAAGTGCCAGAATTAACAAAGAAAGTTTTTAGTTCTTAAGACAGTTGCTTTTGTAGTTCTTCTACATACTGCATGCTTTACCTGCAATTCCTCTGCCACCAAATGTGGTTAAATATATACTGTTTATTTGTGGTAAAAACTGTGTATTTATTATCACAGTTCTCAAGCATAATAGGTTATGTGCTATAGTATACAATATAATATATCATGAATAAGAGGTAAGAGTAGTTTATATTGTCCCACGAAGACCCAAAAGAAATCAGATTTAATGATCTGATAAGGAAACTTTGAAAAACACGTATAGAATGTTTGCTTGGTTACTAAATAATTGTAATCAAATGACAATACATTACTAGAACTGCATAAGAACCATGAATGGCTTTAAAAACACCAAAACTAAGATAGTATAGGAGGGACTGGGTGATTTGTAATTAGAGCTGACGTTTTTTAGTGTTCTTTTTATTTTGAAACAGGGTTTCACTGTGTGTCACAAGCTGGTCTCTGACTCAAAGTCCTCCTACCTTAGCTTCTAGAGTGCTAGGATTACAGATGTTCATTACCACAATCAGGTTAGTATTAATTTTAAGGATTAGTTGAGTCTTCTAGTCTAATCTTAGTAATACTATGAACAACCTTTGTTTGTTTTTGTGGTGGCAGGGATTGAACTCAGAGCCTTATATATGTTTGGCACCATACTGAGCTACATTCTGCCCTTTTAAAATTAATTTTGAGACAGGATCTCCCTAAGTTGCCAAGGTCAGTATCTTATTTGCAACCCTACTACTGCAACAGCATTCCATGTATCTGCAATTACAGATGCATGCCTTCACACCTACTTGAAAATGATCTGAAAAAAAAAAAACAAGATGTGTTTCATACTGATAGAACCTCATCTTTTCCTCTGTGCAAGTCTTGCCTAGACCCT